CCCTGTCCACCACTAAGCCGGTTACACATTAGGGCCTCTGTCCGCCACTAAGTCGGTTACACCTTAGGGCCTCTATCCGCCACTAAAATCCCAGGGGCTTCTAAATGATCCTGGAAGACTCAAAAAGGCCAAGAGTCATAACGACACACCTCATAAGGTAAGAACTAAGGTTCTCTGTCATCTTATGATGGTCTATGGTCTTAACCTTGTTAACTTATTCAATAGAATTGAGATGGTCGTAGAGGAAGCGGAGTCCAACGAAACAGTTAGACCAGAACTTAAACTTCTTAGATGCCTGATTGTCTTTAGACTCTCTCATTAAAGAGGTTATCTCCAGGTCGGCTCGTCGGGCATCATCACTCATAAGAATCTTCAGCTTCTTCAAAGTACCCTGTTGCACCTCCTACTGAATGGTTGGAGCGGAAGACTGTGGTTCAACCATGCTTGAAGTGGCCTTGGTTCCCGCCACCTTCCGCCTCTTTAGGTTCTGGGTTTCCAAACCTGCAAGATCATACTTAACCGCCAAAGATCCACCTGCCCCTTTTCAGGAAGCCCTGGCCTCCAGCATCAATTTCTTCTGCTCGACTACGGAAAGGTATGTTATCTTATTTGCAAAGAAATAAAAAAGACGGTATAAGCACCATTAATAGATGCACGCGTTTAATAATCAGAAGAAAAAACTATTACCAAGAAAATCGAGGATCTCTTTTGTAGTTAGGGGTAATCGATCCTTAATCTTTGTCATTTGAAAAGAGTCAAGCACGTTCAGGGCTTGAACCTCCAGGTCACTTAGTTTATCATAATTGAAGTTAGAGATAAGAGAAGGATCTCGGGACCAGTAGAAAGGGTAGAGTGGGTGCCCGTCCAAACCATACAGAACTTGAGGGAATCTTGGTCCACACTTCACCTTCACAAACCGGTCTTTGAAACCTTTATAGTTGGAGGTGTAAACTTGGAGAAAGATCTTGTGGGGGAGACCACTAATTTGAACCCAAGACAGCTTCTCGACCCCTTTGACCTCAAAGAAAGATAAAAACATGCCCAGCTATTAGGGAGAAGATGAGAGGGAGTGACATTCATATAGAATGTCTGCCTCAAAATCAATGAAGTGGAAACGAACCTTGAAGTCCTCTAACACCCTAGAATAAAAGTAGAAAAACTCCTCATCGGTAATCTTTTGATGGAGGATACACACTTTTTCACCAAGAACACAAGACTCTAGAATAACGTTATCTTCTTCTCAGGTTGATGAAACGTTCATTAAAGATCGGAGCTTGGGGATCTCCTCGTCAAGGGAGCTGTTCTTGTAGCCCATAACTTCAAGATCAAATGGGGAATATGTTTCCATCCGAACATCTACAGAACCTGGGGAGGAATAATTGGAATCTGAATCACTCAAAGAAGTGAAGGAACAACCATAAACTTCCTTTGCAATTCGACTAAACTCCTCTTGACCTAGGGTGCCTTTAACTTCTCGCGTGCATTGATCCCATAACTCCTTTCTCTCTTTGGAATTCGAGGGTTTCACAATATTTCCCTCATCATTGCATTCTCTTATCATAACCATTTTTTAAGCATAAAAACAAAGAAAACTGAAAAGTAGGATGAGAAGAAAAGAGGAATAATTGGGGATGATGAGTTCTAGAGAATGTATATGCTTTTCTCTGGATGTTGAAACATTTTCTGAATGTTGAGATGAAAAAGGAAAGTTGGAAAGAGGGCTTTAAATAAGGTCCATTGAATAATGCATTGGTAAGGGAAACTTCACCCACTAAACATAGACCTAAGTAAAAATCATCATTACTCTATGAGAGAGAAGATGTCTGACTCTTCAGTTTGTGACACGTACGTAAGGTTAAAGTCGGGTTACAACTAGGCGTCGTCCTTAATACTTTCCGTGTCTTTTGTGACCGAACACTACATCCCTACAAGAGCGGATTTGAATTTAGGGGGCTTATATACATCCTGTAAATATTAATGTTAGACGACATAGCGTATCTAGAGGGGGGTGAATAGAGGCGTAACAAATTTATTCTAGACACAAATCTAGAAATAATTTTTTTTTCAAAACTTTTTGATGCCGAAGCAATTAACTGGATAAGTCGTCTAAAAATAACTTATTGGAAACTCAGATATACAAATTATAAAAGATAAATCTATGAGATAAAATTGAGTAATTGATCAATACAAACTCAAATCAATAATCCACTTATTTATTGTTTGAACACAATCACTTTGCAATTCTATTTCCAAGGATAAATAATCAAAGAACTAACTTGATCGTTTTATCAAACACTTGGCGTGTAAGTGAATTTTTAGAATTTCTCTTTGAGTAGTGTTGATATACAAAACCACTTATAATCAAAATTGATTATAAGCTATATCCGCACATATTTCAAAAACGGGTTTTGAGAGAAAAATTCTTACAATTCAATTACTATCACAATGCTATTTGATAAAAAGATTAATGAAATTGAAATCAAGTAAAAACGGAAAAGTAAAAACACACAAGGAATTTGTCTACAGAGTTCCCCACTGGCGTCCTCACGTATGGGTACTTCTACGCCTAATTTCAATAGAACTAGGATAATTCTTATATGCAAAATGTTTAATACATGGAAGAGTTAGAAACAACAATAAAAAAAATCTCCAATTTAGTGTTTATGCTCCTTCTTTCAACCTTTGATCTTAAGAAAGATCAAATCAACCAATAGATGCAAAGTATTTGCCGCTTAAATTACTTCCTTAAAAGGATTTCAAACACCCCAAGGTTCCTTCAAAATATTTCAACCACTCCAATGGATTTTTCTTTCAAATAAATCCGACTGCACACTATCAACACAATATCACTGATTTTATCATCCAATTCTTGCTACTTCCTTAAAAATATTTCAACCACTTTAAGATTCCTTGAAAAGATTTCAAACACTCCAAGGGATTTTTGACATGGACGACTCCTTCTCACATGATCTTGCATGAAAACCCCCAATTCAACAAATGATGTTGGTGGGCAAACCCGGTGGTTTTTCCGGATGAAGACCCCTACAAGAACTCAACCCAAACCAATTGAAAACCTTCAATTCTTTGTCTAGATGGAACCCCAATTGAACATCATCACAATGTAATGTTGGTGTGTATGCATAGATTAGAAGGTTGTTAACAAAGAGAAAAAGTAGGCTAATTTTATGGTATCATCAAGTTAGAAATGATGCATGAATGGTTATTTATAGTTTGGAAAAGTTTAAGGTAAGAAGGACAAATTCACAATGAAAGAAAATGAAAATTTGACCAAAACAAAATTTATGTGTCAACCTCAAAATTGTGTGTGTCGACACATACTTCATAAAAAGGCTGCATGTGTCAACCTGAAAGATTTTATGTGTCGACCTAAGCAAGTCAATAGCTAAAGGCTTTAAAACATGAGTAAATGTGTCAACCTGAAATATGGATGTGTCGACACATAAAATAATAATTTCTGCAATTTCCGAATTCTTTCAGTATGTGTCAACCTGTATAATGCATGTGGTGACTTGTGACTTACAGAAGCTTACAACCATTAAAATTGAGTTACATGTGTCGACCTGAAACTCAGATGCATCGACACATGTAACAAAAACTGACACAAAAACTTAGTTTTAAGGACACAGATGATTCAACACACATTGTGATGAATTCTGTTGTAAGTGGTTTTAGAATAAGATTCGTCGCCTTTAATTTTTATCCTAAGGAAGGAAATATAAAAGTTAACTCTAAAAAGTCAGAGATTCTAGGTTTTTTGACTTGGTTTTAAACGAAGAGAAGGTGTTAGGCACCCCTCATCTACCTTGTTCACAAGGATACCACGTTTAGAATTAATCTTTAGGGAATAGGGTTTTTAGTATTTTATTAGGGGAACTCGCCATGATTTTAGTCGTATGACTACGTATTCTCTCAAGAGGAATCAGAGTTCCAATTCGTAGTTCGTAGTGTTGGTTAGTGTTTTTTATAGGATTGTATAGAATGGCTTTCGAATTTATCCTTGAACCTTGTCTAGATTGTAAATTGAGTGATGGTAGACGCAGTTCGCAGTTAATTTCGATAACAATTATCCTTAATCCTTTTTCGAAAACATCTTGATTTTTTGTTAAGTTAGTAGAAAAAATGATTCGAATTGTTGATTAGTTGTTTTGATGTTTGGTTGATCGAGTATGGTTGAACACAGAGAGGGAGTCTGATATAGTCTCCTCATCATGTGGCCAGATATTAGCCACATGTCATTCGTGGATGGAATATCTGATGAATTGTGTGGGTTTTAATTCTTTGATTTTGAATAATAATAAATCGGTAAGCGATGTGTCGATCGATTTAATTACTCGAATGATGGATATCCTATTATTTATAGAATGTTTGAATTAATTAATAAGATTAGTAATCATAGAATTAGTACAAATTAATTGTTTAGATAACCTAGTTAGATATTTATCCTAATTACCAAAATAAAGTTATTACTAATTATCTAATTAAATAAGATACTAAGAGAGGTGCTAATAGATGATTAGGGTGCATTCCAATAATAATTGAGTAAGGAAAAGAAACTAAAGGCCCGATGTATTGAGCCCAAGACCTAAACTCATCATTGCCCTAATTATACTAATTAAAATAAATAAATAAAAAATTAAAAGAAGACCAACAAGTGATGCATGTGGGACGGTACTCTTTCATCAATAAATTTGTTGACTTTTCAACCATTAATTTCCAGCCAACTAATTTTTGACAATTGACAATTAATTAAAATAATAATGGAAAACAAATTATGTAAATAAAAAGAAGTACATTGAAAACAAAATAGAGGTCTGATATCTCTTTCTCTCAGTCACCTTTTCTCTTCCTTCTAAATCCACCATAGTTTTTCATAAAAACAGAGCAATAAGTCCAAATCAAACAAAGATCAAAGTTTATGCATCAATGGAGATTCAAAAAGAAAGCTCAATACCCGTGGCGATACTGTCGTCGGAGATGCGATGAGCGTGGTTGTCATCGGGATCTCAAGGATGAGGGTGTGGTCTTGCGGGATCAGTGATGGATGTGAGCATGAGAGGGGTTGTCGGTGTGATGCGGTGGAGATTGGACTGCATGGTCGTAAGGATAACGTCACAGTGGTGGGATGTGTGTTCGTCGGTGTCGGAGGGAGTCGTTGGGCTGAGTTTTACGTGGAGGTCTGGATAGCGCGGACTAGATCTGTGGCGGCGAGTGGTTGTTTTTACAGGTTTATTTTATTTGTCTGCAACTTTGTGTTTACAGGTTTAGTGTTTATATGGTGAGGAGGGATATAGGATTTTAGTGAATAATTGTGGTATGTTTAGAAGTGACGCGTGAAGTGTTTATAATGAACCTGAATGGCCTCGTGAAGAGAGGTTAATGTAATAATAAACAAAGTTTTTTGTAACAGTATATACAAGATGTGAGTTTATTGGTGAATAAGAATTGTACAAGATTTACGTTAATTGCATACAATGGTTAAAAATTGATATTAACAAGAAATTGGAACCAAAATATATAGTAATGAATAAATTTAAAACAAGAAAACCATCAGAAAATTTATCTTATGGTTTCTAAAAAATAAACAAGTAGGAATTACAAAATCGAAAACAAATGAGAGGGACTTCAAATTAAATCATCGGCCAAAACAATGAAATAACACCAATAGTAAAGAATTTGTAAAAAAAACTGTATGAAATTTGTGTATTATGAGGATCTAAAAGTGTGTGAAAACATTAGTAAAAATATGTTGATTTGTAGATGAATTGTGGGTGAATTGTGTGTGAGAATTTTGTGGACATTGTGGATCATGTGAATTATTGGTGAATTGTGTGTCGCGAGAAATTCTAGATGAATTTTTAGGACAAATAAGAGTCTTATTTATAGACTTGAATTAGGTTAGAAGAAACTTAGAGACTAAGTTATCCAAAATGTATGAAAAGCCCAAGCCCGATTTTCAAAAAATGAAAGAAAATTAGTAACAAAAAGAAATAGAAAAAATGTTAAAAGTGCACCATAAGAGATTCGAACCCGCGACCTTATTTTCAAGTTTCATTCTTTACCCACTGTGCTATGATACTTATTCGAAATAAAGAGCCAATTGAAAATACATGAAGACGAGCAAGTATTTGTTATTTAAAAATATAAATAATTTAAAATAAATTATTATATTTTTAACTGAACTTGAGAACGAGTATTTATAAAACCTAAAAATATTATTGTAATTAAACCAAAGGAATTTTAAAACCTAAGTTCGAAAATAAATTTGACGGTAGCACTAAAGGCAGACAAATTTGGGATATGATTGTTGCCCCTATTTAATTTCCTTTCGATTGAATGGTGCGAGAATGCGTAGGTCTGGAACATATCGGAGGCTTATTAAATAATGGAAGACCCCAAAATTTGGACCCGAGATTTATTAAACAAGGATACGCTGATATAGCATATCTCAGAGCCCAAAGAAATAGGCAAGGATGATGATGTATCATCCTACCAGAGTTTGGATAAAGAAATAGGGAAAGATGACGATGTATCATCCTACCAGAGTTTGAATAGAGAGATATGATTGAAGAGTAAGTTTGACCTAGATATGATGATGCAGATAACTCACCAATACCTAGAAAAGATATCGTAGTTTTTTGCGTATTTATCATGACCTAGGAGGTAAACAACACAAGTTGAAAGATTATAAGGATGCGATGTATAGCATTCCCATGGGTATGAAGAGTATGCATAGATGATGATGCATCATCTTATCAGCGTTTGAACCGAAGTTTTGATTAGAACTTAAATACGATACCGCAGATAACTTGTCAGTATATAAGAGATTGTAGATTCTTTTACATATTTACAAAAATACAAATTTTGAAAAAGCTGACTTACTAATGCTTGGAGACTAATATAGTAAGTTTTGATTTGATTTGATTTTGTCTATTCATCACAACCTAGGGGATAAATAAAACAAATTCTGATAACACATTGCTGCCTGGAGACTGATGCAATGGATTACACAGATTTATTCACATATCTACCGCAACCTAGGGGATAAATATTTGAAAAGCTTGATACCTATATTGTTGCATGGAGCCTGACACAATGAGTTATATTACCGACTTCGTCATGTTTACTACAACTGAGAGAGCAAATAATCTGAGGATCGATTCACGTATTCATTGCAACCTAGAGAATGAATAATATGAACCGACAATTGGCACATCTACCACAACCTAGGGGGTAGATGATTGAAAAAGCTTGATAACAACATCGCTGCATGGAGATTGACGCAATGAGTTATATCACAGATTTCCCATATAACTGCATGGAGACCGACGCAACGAGTTATATCGTAGAGGAGGAAAATTTGTATTTTATCACAACCTAGGGGATAAATAAAACACCATTTGATAATACATTGTTGCATGGAGACTAATGTAATGGATTACGCAGATTTATTCGCATATCTATTGCAACCTAGAGGATAGATAATCAGAAAAAAAAAGCTTAATAACTACATCGCTGCATGGAGACTGAGGCAATGAGTTATATTGCAGATTTCGCACATTGCTGCATGGAGCCTGACGCAATGAGCTATATTAGAGTTGGAAACACATCGCTGCATGGAGACTGAGGCAATGAGTTGTATTGCGGATTTCCCACATTGCTTCATGGAAATTGACGCAATGGTTTATATCGCAGAAAAAGTTGTTTTTTGATGATCAAATCTTAGATAACTAGATCAATGATGAGATCGGATTTTTACCGGTTGTGTCTGTCCTTAACCAAGGTAAATGTTTAGCATAAAAATGCTAGGTTTGAAGATTGAAACCGAAGTTTCACTGATGATGTCAGTTGTGTCTGTTCTCAACCAAGACTATCAACATGAAGAAATGAACCCCAAAATTCATTGATAATGTCGGTTATGTATGTCCTCACCCAAAACTATCACCATGAAGAAACAAACCCCAAATTCACTAATGAAGTCAGTTGTGTCTGTCCTCAACCAAGACTATCATCATGAAGAAATGAACTCTAATTTTTTTTTTTGCTAATGAAGTCGATTGTGTCTATTCTGAACCGAGGCTTCATTAACATGATAACCAAATGAATTTGAATGTTTTGAGATGTTCGAACTCGAAAAGTTTGAATTTGATAATCAGAAGTGTAATGCCCAGAGGCTAGTGATGACTAGGCCTTGGATATGAATCGTAGGTAAGCTGCCTAATGACATTATGATAGTGTTACCTTTTAGGGTTGTATCCATTCTCAACTGAGGTAGCTATAGCAAGAGGAATGGATAATGCTGAGCTTGGATTTGAATTTGAGTTCGTCTTAGCTGGTAATCATGCCTTGAGATTTTTCTACAGTTTTTCATGGGCATATATGATTTGAATGTAATGCATGTATGCACGTTTGATATGATTATGTTTTATGTATGTGTATGTATGGTATGTATGCTTAACATGATAATGTTATAAATTAAAATGATGCAACGGTTGATAAATGCAATGCCCCTGTTATTTGAACTGTGAAACCAATGCTTAAGGCAGGCTATCAGCCAAGAACTATTTTTCTGAGAAGCCATGCCAATTAGGGGCTGGGCTTTTAAATATATGTGCCACACTGGAACTTGGCTTTGCACCAACGTTATTAGGACTGCTGAAATAGTGTCAGCTTGGTGGCTTGGAAAGGTGAAACGGATAGCAAGGTCGCCAACATTGGTAAGGTTACCTAGAGACATTAATGCGGTGATTTGGAAAGTGTGAGGCTGCTCATGACTTTTACATAAGGATGCTTATGTATGGACAAAGAAATGAGGTCGTGTGAGGTTGCTCATGCCTTAGTTTGACGAAGAACGCTTGTATGATAGACTCACTGAGAGGGATACTCAGAGAGATGTTAGAGATTATAATAGTGACTCCCCTAGAAATTGACTCTAGATTTTACGAGGTCCTGAGTCTCGGTCTATGATATGCCATGTATGCATACAGATGCAGACGTTAATGCGTAGAATGACTGACCAATGCATGTAATGGATGACTTGGATATGCGACAATGGATGTTGAAATTTTGATGTGCCAATGAGAATTAGGCTCTTTGTTAGATCCATGCTGTCAGAAGTCGTCAGATGGATGAGATGATAAGTATAGCTTGACTCTGGATTGAAGAGCCCTAATGCATGATTTATGCAGCCTTATGCTTTATGATTATGACTCAAATGCTTTTTTAATTGTGCCTTTGTGATGGGTCGTGGATGATTAAAGAATAGAGGTTTGCTTATGCAACAAGTTTACTTGTCACATGATGGTTGAATGTTATGGTATCATGATTTCCCTATACTCGATTCGAACTTGAAGATTGCTGATGTAGGAGAAAGATTCACCGAAGATTATAAAAGTATGCGAAGAGCTTGCCCTTATGTGGATTGTCTTTCCCTAATTTGTTAGTAGGGTCTTGGATGAGATTCTCATTGATATGAGCTTGCAAATAGTTTGATCATAATATGAATGACCCCAATATTTTGCATTATTCCCTTGATTAAAAGACTCTTGAAAATGTTTGGCTTTGATGAACCATTTTGAATCAACTCCTTTTGATCGAGCGTCGCAGTGGTTTACCCCAACATTTGAATTTTGAAAGATGTGCCCCTCAATCTCCAGGATCTGGAGGAAGTACCCTCAGAAAGAACTTAGACCTCACCATAAACTTGACATAGTATGCCCCAAGTATTCGAAGCTTGAAAAAGTTTGTACTTGAAGTTGCTTGAATGGGAATTTGGACCCTACAACAGTAGGATGAACTTGGTATGTACTGCCCCAATATTTGAATCTTGGAAGGTTGCCCTTGATCATCAAGGCCTTGAGAGGTTAGTTAAAATGAGGAAACCGAGTCATATCCTATTGTGATATGACTTGATTAAGGAATGCTCCTTCGAAAGGTATGTCCCGGACCGAACAGTGCTTTGAAACTTGATCCAAGTTGATTGAATCTCGGGATGGTCACCCCTAATCAAATAGGATCTTCATGTGATATGCCCCTATGATCGTTAGTCTTGATTATGATTATAGGGCTCCTATTTAGATGCTTTGCCCCTAGTTAGGAGCTTCTTGGAAAGGATCGCTTTTGAGTAAACCAATTTTTTTAGTCCCCTTGATGCTAAGTACTGATTCGTAGATAAAATTGTACCTTTCGAAAAGTAATTATGTTTGATGCACATGCAAGTTTTGAAATCAAAGTTTTCATGGAGAAGAAATGGATGATTAGAGTTGGAGATTTGAAGAAGTGG